CCACTTCCCAACAGTCCCTCCATCCCCCACTTCCCAACAGTCCCTCCATCCCCCACTTCCCAACAGCCCCTCCATTTCCCACTCCCCAACAGCCCCTCCACTTCCCACTCCCCACAAATCAACGCGCCCTCAACAGTAAACCCATGAACCCAAGCAACAAATAGGAACAAATGACCCACAACTGAGACCCGGTACTGGGATCGCCACTCGGATCTGCAGTGCAGGGTTATTGTCGTAAGCAATTATGAGACGCTCGACGTGCCCCGTCTTGTCGTCAGGTTTCTGCTGCACTGGGTGTCACCTACCACATACCTTTGGTATGAATGCGACAATGAGTGGGGTTGATCAAGTAAAGGTAGCCCAGGAATACAAAGAACACCCTCTCGTCAACGAGTACCCGCAGAGCCAGCAATCTGACCAATGCCTTGACTGAGCTTACATATCAAATTGTAAATCAACAATCATTCATTATTTTTTAACGATCTGACTGTTTCATGAAACCATGCGGAAGCACGTGAGGGTCAAGTAATCATTTTGTTCGAGGCTAATTATCGCTAATTATTAGCTACTTCTTTATTATTTGTTGTTGCACATTTGTACTGCACCTGCCGATTAAACATATTTTAAGGCTTGTTGAACAAAAAATCACTTCGATTAGCGTCTATCCATCCTTGCAGCAATAGGCGTCTCTTTCTACTCTCCCATCAGTGCGAGGCCAACAAGTTGTTGCAAATGCGCTTAGCTGAGCTGAGTTCTGCTACTTATTATAATCTATCTTTTGTTTAAGGTAACCTAGGTGCAATAATTAGTTTATCTCGAGCTGGCGGCGATCTGTATGCATTGGACAGGGATCGACTGGGTGTGATGCATTGCGCTGCCAATCACGGTCATGAACATATTCTGGAATATATTATTAACACTTTGGATCGTACTATCATTGATTCAGTGGACAGAAACGGCGACACATCTCTTTTTTATGCTGTAACATTGGGACATTATGATTGTGCTCGCTTACTACTGCTCAGTGGAGCTAACGTAAACCATCAGGTACAGATGCACTAACGTACTTCTCAGTGAAATCAACGAAAATTTGGCATTTGAGATTTCAGTTCATCGTTGGCCAAGTGGTAACACAACAGGATCTTAAGTGCAAAAAATTCGTGGCTTAGTGGTAAACAGGGTGCATGTAGGAATCCTAAATTCGTCAAGATATCTCAAGAGCTGCTGCTAAAAGTTACAGGGTGCTTTTTACAGTGTTCACAGTGACGAGCAAAAAGGTGTTTTTTGTATGGCCGGCTCAGTGCGAATGATTTTGAACAAAGATAAAATGTGATGGCTGCAAAACTGAGAAGTTGGGAGAAGGAACTGGGATGGCGGCGGAAGGAAGAGGAAGAGGGAGGGAGAGTTTGACCACTTTTAAAATTTAGTAAAATTTATAGTTACCCAGCAAAAACCCTTTCACATTTCAGAAGCAGTTTAGGGAAGGAGGTGCGACTGACCGCAAACGGTGGTGTCAATCAGTGGTGTCACTTGATTTCAGAAAGGCTTGAGCTCGGCTGCATGCAAGCACTCAGTTTTTGTAAACACTTCTACTTTTTTCATCTTTTCCACGCTTTTTTGAAGGATAATTATCTCCGTTGCGCGAGCCACTGTGCTGCAGCGAAAGGCCAGCTTCGGTTGCTAAAATTGCTGAAACATTTCGGTGGCAGCTTTGAAATTCAAAATCGTCGAGGTGATCTGCCGATACATGAGGCTATCCAAGCTGGTGCTAAAGGTAAAGACACTTCTTTTACTACCTCAAGCAAGATTTCCCACCTTATTTTTTGATAACAGTGCCGACATTTGCTCGTATTTCGATGGCATAGATAACATCCCGTTTTCTGGTAAAAAGTTTCAGTAATCATCATTTTGTACACACAAAAACACGTTACATTTTTGAGTGACCAACATCCGAACTAAAAGTGAAAAAGGCTTTTTCCCACTGATCATCACATTTGCCACCTAAGTTATAACCATGGAACTGCGTAGACTGAAAACATTTTTTTTGGTGGTATAATTTTGCAAAAGTGCTGCAGACCAGTAGACTAGTGATTAACTCTTACAACTTCAGATGCCCAAGAACGGATCCACAAGGATTAGCTTCAAAAACAGACTAATGCTTTGCAGATTGTGTTGAATATTTACTGGCGCTACATCCGTCAGCAGTTGATGCGGCCAATCATGAAGGTCGAACAGGGTTGCATTTGGCTGCTGCCACTGGCAACATGGATATGGTCATTCTGCTTTGCACACGCAACGCCACTATCAATCCGTTGATGCTATACAAGGTAAAACAGTAAAGTTGATCCTAGTTTCCGAAGTATTTCCCAGAATCAATCGAGAAGCCGGACGGAATTTTTGGCATTTTACTAAAAAAAGCCAATCGCCGAAGGCTGCTGCGGGGCCCTCTAGTTACGCTTTGCATGAGCCAAGTCCACTATGTACGGTTTAAGAGTGGTTGTTTTCATTTACTTTGACATCACTTACATGTATTGCACACCTACTGCTTGTCGGTAAAGTAATAAGTTCATCTACCTAAAAAAAGATTAGCTTCACAAAAAAACTTCACATTCACAAACTCCTCAACTGTTTACTGTAGAAATGTTCGTTGAGTACTTGGCTTTAAAACTGTCGAAATCCAAAAAAAATGCCCGATCTTCTCAACAGAGGCAAGACTGCGTTCTGACTCAGCGCTTTATTTTTAAT